TGGGTGTAATTAATTGCCTGTAAGCACTAAGCATTGCCTTCATTTGAATAACCTGTTTCAAGTTTCCTTCCAATAGAGTATGTTTATTTAAAGTAATGACTACACTATCGTTGACGGAATGATTCCATCAGTATTTGTTATTGTAGATTATCTATACTACATAATCTACACATGTATCCATTGGTAAAAAATACTAACGAAACAATCCTGTAACTCGATTGTAGTCGTAGTCATAACTAATTTGTTCCTTTTTCAAATTAGTATAATTATTTGTTAATAAACTTTTATTTCCTTTTTCAGTTAGTAGGGCGACCCTTACTTTTAACATTTTAATGTCATGTTTTTTGGTATTTTGCTTATCTTTATTTTACATAAATATTCTTCTTTTGCTTGTGCTTAAAAAGAATACTAGGAGTATATTCTATTTAAACTTTTACAGAATTTTTTAAATCTTTTAAAATTCTGGTGTATTCAGTTACAACTTTTTTGAGACTTTTAAAAGGTTTACCTGTATTCAATTGAAACTTTGAAGACTTTTCATAAATCTCTAAAAGTCCCAAGTTATTGCATTAAAACTTTATGGGAGTCTTTGATAAATTACCATGTACTCAAAGTAGGAAGATTTTATTAGACTTTTCAAATTATAAGACTTCTAAAGACTTTTATAACTCAATTACAAATAAAAAGTCCTAGAAGAAACTAGGCAATTCTCTCATCTGGTGAGAGTGAGCGATTCCTTTTGTTGAGGGCATTCATTCCTTTGATGAGGGCTTCTCTTGAAATCAATCGAGATGATTAAGGCAATAGGGACTCTATTGTGGCGAAGTGAGGAGCTAGGGTCGCTCGAAGAATAGTATGACCGAAAACGAAAGTAATTTAGGGATTGGAGAGGAGATGGTAGAAAGACTCAAGAAATTCTCGCTTTCGGCGGCTGAGAGTTTGGTAATTGACACAGGCATCGAGGATATACAAGCCAGTGTTGAGGAGTGCAGTCAAAGTTTACTTGGCAAGGTTGTTGGCAATCGACGAGCATCACTAGTGAGCCTAAGGAGAACCATGACGACAATATGGAGGATTCAACAAGGGTTGGAGGTACGAGAAATCAAGTAAATTTTTTTTCCAATTTATCTTCGAAAATAAGAGTGATTTGAGTAATGTGCTGCTGGGCATCAATTGAATTTTTTGAAAACCAGTACATAATTATACAAGAATGGAGGAATGGTATTAGCGAAAAAGATGGTTGTTTTGAGGAAGTAAATCTTTGGGTACAGGTCTATAATGTACCTTTGGATTGGTTGAGCACGGAAGTGGGGTTAAAGGTAGGGACTGTGTTCAAAGGAGTTAGAAATGTGGGGATTACAAATGCTGGAGGAGCAGGAGGTATAATTATCAGATTGTTGGTGAATGTGGACATAAATAGGGCTATATCTCGATGTACTTCCATCAGATTGGGAGATCAAATCTCAACAGTAAGTTCTAAGTATGAGACGCATGCTAATCTATGTTATTACTTTTGGAAGATAGGACATTTTGGCAGAGATTGCCAGAACAGGCTGAGAGACATAGCTAATGGACAAATCAGAGATGGGCAATATGGGGAGTGGCTGAAAGCTGGTGAGATCAGAGCTGGGAGTAGTTTTGGTCAACAAAGTAGATCGACTGAGAGAGAAATTGAGAACTCAGCAGATCGAAGAGTGGATTTGAACCCAAACCAAAACATCATTTTGAAGAATTTGAGTATAGTGAAATACAGTTCATCATGATGGTAAGAGTACTAAGGATGGCCTATAGGTGCAAGAAACAGTATCCAAGAATGATACGTGAGAAATCTTTTATTATTTTGTAACTTAATTTTCACATTTGAGTATCTGATTTGAGTGTATTATTCAAGTTCTCTCACCAATATTCCGTTAGGTGTTTATTTTGCAGTTGTTACGCCTATTTGTGATGTGACATTGATGAGGTGGTAGCCATGCAGGTGATGACATGGATTTAATTTTAATATGACCAAGTGTTGGGATCTATGAGGATCTCGTTATGTACATGTTACGAATTCAATAACAAACGTAAACTTATGCTCAACGGATCTAAAGGTGTGACGTAAAAAAACTTACGGATTAGAATTTTCTGAATCTATCGGATTTGGGATGGCCAAGAAGAGCACACGAACAAGGGGGTCGCGACTCCTGCTTCTTCTCCCTCCTACTGTCTTGTATGAAGAAATCTGCATGTGCCTCCTCCATGTTCATGTATTTGTTTTCTCTCTCCAATAGTTCATCGTAGCTTTGGGCCGGTCTTTTGGATAAAGTCTCAAAAGGGCCCAGGTCGTATCCCTCTGGTCAATCCACCGACTTTTATCTCTTTCGTGGTGGTTGGTACTTCGACACATGCACGAGTGTAACGAGCTATGTAGGCATACAACGTCTCATCCTCCCTCTGTTGCAATTATTAAAAATAAGTATGTCTTCTCGTGCTTCCTCGAGCTCTCAAACTGGTTGGTGAACAATGAACTGAAGCCTAAAAAATCTTTGACAACACCTGGTGCTAGTTGATGGAACCAATCTTGGGCAACACCTTCAATGTGGTCATAAAGGCTCGACAACACACCGGGTCGTTGTACCTGTGCAACACC